TACTCAGTTTCCCTTTCCCTTCACTGCTGAACTTCTCAAAAGAGCAACCTATCCGTCCATACTCCCAGCCTCCTCCTCCCCACCACCTGCTGACTCCTCAACCCCTCCCCTAAATCTGGCATCCACACCTGTCACCGCTCCCTCCCGTGTCTCTTTAACTGATAGATCCTGGGCCTTTTTCTCATTCCTCGTGCACCCTGACCTCTCTGCAACATTCCACACTGCAAAGAGTGGTTGAAGGAATTGCTTATGTTGAACCTGTAGAAGACAGTGAGGTGGAGGGAGGTATCATAGCAAGATTCACAGTGTAGCAGGCCTGTCATGTGTGAGTGGGAGTACGTTAATTCTACCTGGTCCTAAAGACCTAATAGAACTAATACAATACAAGCTCCCTGAGGGCAGGACCTAGTTTGCATTTTTGTCTTTGTCTCCCCCAGTCCCTGGCATGTGACCTGCTAGAAAAGTGCTTGTGGTGGATGAACCTCTCCTTGATGTTCTTGCTTCTTCCTGGATCTACTTGTCTTTGTATCATCTCCTTTGATGCCTCATTTCCCTCTTATAACCCCTTCAATATAGGAATCTCCTTAACTCCCCTCCTCTCCTCTCTTCTCCTCTCTTCTCCCCTCGGAGAAGGGGGCAACAGATGTTGCAAAGGTGAAATCGATAGGCTTTGGCAATATTTTGGATAAGGCGGGGGGGGGGTTGAGAGGTAGTGAGGAGTCCAGGATGACTCCTAGCTTGGGGGCCTGGGCTATTGGGAGGCTAGAGTTGCCCTCTAGACTAGTAGAGAAGGTGGGGGGGGTTAGGAGGAAAGATCATGAATCCTGCTTTGGACGCATTGAGTTTAAGATGCCTACTGAACATCCAGTTTGGGGTTTGAAGAACTGTCAGTTGTTATACCGAGAAATGAGCGAGTTCACCACCCAAGCTAATTTTAAATTGTGGACTTTATTAGTGCCCGGCTGCCAGGGATATTCACATCCAAATCAAGCAGCACCCATCAGGGGTTGAGCTAGGGTTTATATAGGGAGTATACAGGACAGGGAGGGGGATGGATCTTTGAAGTCTGGCTGGTCAAGGACACCCTTCTCCCTCTGTGTAGATGATAATGCTCTGCAAACTTTCCTGAGCAGCCAGATAAGGGTCTTGCTAAGGAATTTGGAGTTTTCCAGAGATATGATCTGAGGGCTAGGACCTGAGCAGCCAGATAAGGATCTTGCTGAGGCCCATGCATGAATACTGCTAGGCACAGCGTCCTTGGGCTGGGGAGTGGTCGTTAGAGATAGTGTTTCTGAGACTAGGGAGGCATTTTGGGGCAAAAGTATAAGCACAAGCATCTGAGCACCCCATCATGACAGGTCAGGGATCACACAAACCAGACCAGGTGTCCTGGTCTCTGGTATAAACATAATTATCTAAAGCCATTGTATTGCAAGTTTTCTTATCCATTTGCTTTGGAGGTATGGGCTGTGATTAAGCCATGCAGGAGTACGTTTCACTATTGTTTAGATTTAGGAGGAAAGAGGTCTGGGGCAAGATTAAGCAGCAACTTCTGCTTTCCATTGCCTAAAGGGCCCTACTACCTAAATGGTAAAATAATGTTCTGCATTACACAGTGAAGGATTAGCCTTGTCCTGTCCCTGTCCCTTGAGTCACAGTGAGGACCAAATGGAGAGAACGTTTGAAAAGCGTGATATGCTAGCTCTTATTTGAAGCTAGCAGGAACCTCAGAAATCATTTAGCCTTACTCTTTCATCTTAAGAGATAAGGAAACTGAGGCCCTAGAAATGAAAATTACCTGCCCAAGTTCAAGCTGCTAGTGAGCATCAGAAGTGGGATTCAAACCCAGATCTTTTGGCTGCACTCAGTCACGATGACTTCCTAATGAGGAATGAGGCAGACGTGCTTGGAGACAATGGACTCCTCCGCACCCACCGGAGAAAAGTGTCCGTCCCAATGGGCCCTGGCACACAGGATTAGGCAGAGCCTCCCGCTAACAACAGCAGGGAGAGATGGTAATTCTATAGGGCACAGGCTTTACACCCTTCACCTCTTTTGGACCCCACAGTAATGCTGCGGGTACCAGGGGAAAGCAAAAGGGAGGGAAGCAGATAAGCATTTATGTAGCACCTACTATGTGCCAGGGATTGTGCTAAGTGCTTCATACAGATCTCATCTTATTTGATTCTCACAACTGTCTTACAGGATAGGTGCTCTTAGATCGTTTTACAGATGATGGAACTGAAACATACGGAAGTTAAGTGACTAGAGCCACACAGCTGGTGAGGGTCTGGAGCTGCATTCGAATTCAGGTCTTCCTGAGGCTTAGCCAAGTTCTCTAGCCATCGTACCACCTAGGGGCCACAGGGTGATTATTACTTTATATTTGGGTCCTGAAGATGTGGTGCACTGCCTGTACTCACCGTACCGAAGATGGCAGAATCATGGATATTGAGCTAGAGGGATGCTAGATGTCATGGACCTTCATTTTATGTATGGGGAAACTGAGGCCCAGAGAAATGACATGACTTGACCTAAGGGTAGTAAATGACAGAGCCGAGCCGTCTGCCTCTGAATCCGGCGTCCCTGATGCTGAACCACCCTGCCTTTCTTGTCAGAGTGACCCTGCTAGGGCATTATTCAGCTCTGAAAATAAGGCACTGGCCTTGTGCTGTGCTGAGGAGTGGGAGTGCTTTATCCAAGGTTCACAGCATGGGGGGCTCAGAAGCAGGGCCGCCTGTCTCTAAGTCTCATCCAGCCACCATGGCAATCGTTGGGTGCCACACACGCTTCCAAACAGACTGGTTGGAAAGAGGGGGAAAGCCTCAGACCTCTGGGAGAGAAGTTTCTCCATATCTCTGGTGGTCTGACTCACCCCAGGGGGTAGGCTGAGGGTGGTGGCAGGGAGAGAAGCCAGCAAACCAGGGTGGGGGCCTCATCTGCCATCCCCGGCCTTCAGAAGACCCAGGGAGCTCAGCACCAGCCATGGTCTAGCTGGTCTAGGCATCTGCCGGGGGAGATATCTGGGGATGAACAGATGCCCACACCCTGGCTGTTTGGAGACCTGCTTGTCCCAGCCATCTAGCCGTTGTGGTTTGATGAATTCGGGGGCCTTTATTAGCAAGATTCATCTTGTGACCCTCATTTTAATGGCCACTTTGCAGCATATCTGTATCTTGACATTGGAGTGAAATCGAGGTTGGCTTGGGCCAGGCCAGGGCTGTGGTGGGTGCCCAGCACCCCAGCATGGGTCACTGGACCTCCAGCCCCCAGGGAGTCTCGCCGAGGCTCTGGAAAGCTTAGGTGTCAGATGGCTTGCTTTTTTGTACGACCTCTATTTTGATCCAGTCTTTTCTGTCTGCCTGCCAAGTTGAAAGTATTGTCCTCACTTCCAAGGACCCTCCTCCTCTTTGCATAACTTGCTGCCTTCTGAGGTTTTCAGAACTCTTCTAGTTCTTACCAGTCCCCTGGGGGTTAAGACAAGGCAGACAACAGGGACAAATTTGGAGAGGGTACAACCCACTGCTCTTGGGTGACTTCATCCCCCATGCCACAATTTGGCCTGGAGAACCTAACCTGCCCCAGGAAACTTCTACCAAGACCACCACCCCTGTTTCCCAGAAACTGTGGATGACTTGGGGTGGATGGAGTGCAGATGGTGACCTCCCAGGTCTTCTGGGAGAGAGAAAGTGTTCTGTCATGGACATTCCACTTCCAAGAGAAGTCCAAGCCTGTGGGGTAGGTTGAAGGTATCTTTCACCCTGGGGTAAAAGCAGGACTCTAATAACCTTAAGTCGATTCCCTTCTATGGGAAATAGAAACTATTATTATATTATATAATATATATATCACATAGAAACTATTATAAGCATAATAGAAGCTATTATATATGTTATTATATTATGTATAATAAATTATATTATTATTATATTATATAAAATATTAATAGAAACTATTATAAGCACAATAGAAGCTATTACATGTAATATGTTATTATATAATATATAATAAATTATGTCATTATTATTATATTATGTGGCAAGGTGGGACTCCCCAATGAGGGAGGATCGTACCACATGTTTACAGGATGCTGTGAGAACTTTGTATTTTCTGAATATCTTGGTAAAGTAAAAGTAATGGTAAAATAAAGGCTTCTCTCCTCCTGATATGTGTTACCTCAAGAGCTTGTAAGGGGAGCCAGGAACCCTTTTACTTACATTTGTAGAGACCTAAATATGAAGAAAATTGGAGCCATATTCTAAGATTTCCCAGAGGAAAATCTGAGTGAGAGCAAAATGAGTTAAAGAGAAATATCATTTTGGGAGCTGCTTGAAGGTTAAACCCAATCCATGTAAACCTAGAGCTTGGAACACTGGGCTGTGGTTAACAACATTTCATTGAAAAAAGATTCCCCAGTTTATTTTGGGATTGTTTCTGACATGTTTAAGGTACCCATTGCTTTCTTCTAGTCTTTTAAGTACTTCCCTCTCTGGGGTGGAACTTGATATCTGGGGGGAGCATTTCCACTAGTTACCTGAGCCCTTGTCTAAGCAGATCAGAGTACGAACTTTCCATTGGAACCTTGGGTACTGGTAGCACCCATGGATTCTCCACAAAGCCATGCTTACAACCAATCTTCTCCCAATCTCAAGAAATTGAGCCTGTTTTAAAATCCCAATCTTTACATCAAGGGCTATGTTGTCCAACATGGTGACTGTTTCTGTGGTCTTCCTAAGCTAGCTGTCCCTCTAGGTGAAGAACTGAGCTGATGCCCCACAACATACTTGAGTAACCAGCCAGGCTGGCACTCAGAACGTCATGTTATTCGGGCTCTTCATTCTCTTCTTGGTGTAGAAAGGACAACCCTCCTTTTCTTCCTCCTTGCAGCCCACCCAGGTAGCAGCTGTGTCCCATCCTCCGGAGACTGAAGGGCACACACATGCAGCCCACCCACCTTCTTCTTCAGGAGGGCATCCCTTCTCATCAGGGAGTTTTCCATCCTAAATTTTAGGGAGTAGGAAGTGGAGGAAGTCCCCAGTTGTGGTCACCATTCCACAGACAGCCACGAATGTTTCTGGCTGTTCCTGATCCAGGACCTCGATCGGTGGGGTGCCAATGGTTCTGATGCCGTAGGCTAGACACACGAAGCTGAGGCCCACCTGCTTGCAGGAGGAGAGAGTCAGACAAATCGGTCTAGTGACCGATCACAGAGAGGACTGCCCCAGCATGTTAACTACTGCCTGTGAATGGTTATGGAAATGATGATGGCTAGAGGAGATTGAGTGGACAGAGTGCAGGGCCTGGCGTCAGGAAGACTCATCTTTGTGAGTTCAAATCCAGCCTCAGACACTTATTAGCTGTGTGACCCTAGGCAAGTCACTTCACCCTGTTTGCCTCAGTTTCCTCATGAGAGGAAATGACAAACCACTCTGGTATCTTTGCTAAGAAAACTCTAAATAGGGTCACAAAGAGTTAGACCTGACTGAAAAATGACTGAACAATAAAAAATATTTATATGGCACTATAAGTTTTCTAAAGAGCTTTGCAGATATCTTCTCATTTTATCCTCACAGTAACCCTGTGAGGTGAGTGCTATTATTATCCTCACCTTGCAGATCAGGAAACTGAGGCAGATAAGAGGTTAAGTGAGTTGCCCAGGGTCACACAGTTGCAGGATTTGAATTCGGGTCTTCCTGATTGTAGGTCACAGCACTATAAAACTTCAGAGGATCTGCACAGGGAGCCTTAGATTTAAGGACTTTCACTGGGCTTCTTGACCTTCCCCAGGGATTGTTCAGCACTTTGATCCTTTGTTCAGGTGGATTTGCATCAGTTACCCTCTCTCAATGAAGAGCCTTGGCTTTCCTTCCCACCCCCCCACTCCACCCCCAAGCTGCTACCAGGTCACCTCAGTCTAGGCTCTTGAGAAGGTGAATGGTGGGGAACTGTAGATTTAGAGCTGGTTTAAAAATCACCACCGTGTCCCACCCTGAATTCATTCTCTTTCCCCCAAACTCTCTCCTGTTCCTAACTTCCTTATTACTGTGGAGGACACTGTGCCTCTCTCAGTCCGCCAGGCTCACCTCTGCCGTGTCATCTCCAGCTCCTCATTGTCTCTGTGAGAGATAGCGACTCTTCTCCTACCCAATCAGTCATCAAGGCCTGTGGATTTTACCTTTGTAGTACCTCTGGGATCCCCTCCCCATGTCTGGCCTCTGCCTCTGGCACCCTTTCAGGCCTATCCTCATCACCTCCCACCTGGACCATTGGAATAGCTGCCTGGGGGTCTGCCTAGTTTAGTTCTTGTCCCTCCCTAATGGACTATCTGACCGAGTCACTCCTCTCACTCCCTTTACGCAAACGCCAGAGTCTCTCCACTGCCTCCAAAGTCAATACAAAATCCTTTGCTTGGTGTTCAAGGCTCTTCCCCAGCTTTCCAGGCTTCTGATATTTTGCTCCCAGTCTTGTGCACTTCACCCCAGTTAAGCCTCCTAGCCCTCCCATCTCCGTTGCAGCATGTTTTTTACTAGCCATTCCCCAAGCCTGGAAGGGGTTCTCTTCTCACCTCTGCTTCCTGGCTTCCTTCTTCCCTCAAGTCTCAGCTAAAATCTCATCTCCTCCAGGAAGCCTTTCTCAGTCTCTTTAATTCTGGTGCTTTTCCTCTGCTGAGTATTTCCAATTTTTCCTGTCCGTGCTTTGCTTACATGTAGTTATTTTTACGTTGTCTCCCTCATTAGGTTGGGAGCTCTTCAAGAGCAGGACTTTTATCTTTTCTTTATTTCTCCAGTGCTTAGCACAGGGCCCGCATGTACTAGGTGCTTAGTAAATGTTGATTGAGCCCAACTTCCTCAATTTACAGCTGAAGAAAGTCAGGCAAAGGGGGCAGCTAGGAGGCGCAGTGGATAGAGGACTGGCCCTGGACTCAGGAGGACCTGAGTTCATATCTGTACATAGACATATAACATTCACTAGTTGTGTGACTCTGGGCAAGTCACTTAACCCCAACTGCCTCACCAAAAAAAAAAAAGTCAGGCAAAAAGGGCTGAGGCCCAACGTCACAAAGGGGTCTGATATTTTATTTTTTCCCAATTACATGTAAAACAATTTTTAACATTAGGTTGATGGGTTTTTTTTTTAAACTTGGAGCTCCACATTCTCTCCTTTCTTCCCCTTTCTTCTCCCTGGGTCAACAAACAATTTGATTAAGCAAATTGATGTATGGCATGTGCAGTCATGCAGAACATATTTCCACATTAGTCACAATAAACAATTCTTAAGCACCTACCATGTGTCCGGCACTGGGCTAAGCACTTGGGATACAAAGAAAGGCAAAAATAGCCCTCGAAGGCCTCCCAGTCTAACCAGGGAAGACAACGTGCACACCACTACATACAAGCAAGCTATAGACAGGGTAAATGGAGGTCATCTCAGAGGGAAAGCCAGGAGGCTGGAAGGGGATGGAGCCCTGGGAAAGGCCTCCTGAAGAGGAGCTGCAGAGCAACTCAATCCCGTGTCTTCAGATCAAGCACCGCAAGGCCTCCCACTTTGGGGAAGAGATTTAGCCGATATGAGATTTACTGGAAAGCTCTATTTGAGGTCACCAGCCCCAGTCTGGCCAGACTCAGAGGACGATCCTTGCATTGACCGTCTAGCTCCACACAATCCAGGGTTGCTAGCCTCCTTGCTGCCACTGGCCACTTCCCAAATATTTGGTCTGGGTTACATCTAAGCCCCATCTGGGTCTGGGCCAGAGTCTGAGGCTGGCTGGTAGTACCTTACTGGACATACAGTTAATTGTTTGGAGATTAATAATCCACTGGATCATTAATTTAGAACTGAAGGACTACTTACACACCTCCCCTGCCCCCATTGTACAGATGACAAAACAGAGGCAGAGATAGATTTATCCATTGTTTCTACCTCTCTGGTTTTTCCTCCCCTTTTACCCTTTAAGGATTTCCTTGCTTATTTGTGCCTCCCCCAAGGGGAAAAGGGAAATGCCAGAAGGCCCTTGGACCTGCCTGGAGCAAGGTTGAGCTACTGGCCCTAAATAGTGAGAAAAGAGATGTATGGGTAGGAGTGAGAAACTCCAAGTCTGAGGTCCAGCTTCACTGCTTATTGGCCATTTGACCTTAGACAAGGGACTTAATCTTTCTAAGCCTCAATATCCTCATCTGTAAAATAGGGACAAGGAATAATCCCTGCTTTATGTACCTCAACAAGTTGGGAGGCTACAATGGTCTGTTCTATAAGTCTATAGGAAAGCCCATTGTCCCCGGTAAATGGAAGAGATCATTTGGTTGCAAAGAACTTAGTTCTCAGAGGCGCAGTGGATAGAGCTCCAGGCCTGGAGTTAGGAAGACCTGAGTTCAAGTCCGGCCTCAGACACTTCCTGGCTGGGTAACCCTGGACAAGTCACTTCAGCCTGCTTGCCTCGGTTTCCTCATCTGTAAAATGAGCTAGAGAAAGAAATGGCAAACCGCTCCAGTGTCTTTGCACAGAAAACCCCAAATGTGGTCACAGAGAGTTGGACATGAATGAAAAATGACAACAGTGACAACAGCTTTGTGTCCTCAGGGCCTAAAACAGTTCCTAGGACATAGTAGGTTCTTAAGGAATTCTTGTTGAATGGAAATTCTGGGGACTTGGGGTCCCATGGTGTTGATGGGCTTAGGTCCCAACCAAGGGGATGGGAGGAGATCCCAGAATGGGGCATGTGGGTGAAGTCAGAAGGGTCAGAGACTGGGTGTACCCCAAATGCCAACCATCCCCTCCAATACCTGAGGCCAGTGGGAAGGAGCTCAGCTGAATAGATAAAGGAGACGGTGACATCAGCCGATAGCCCAATTTGGCCCAGCAGGGCCAGAGTTATGTTGATGGAACTCAGAGCTGGAGGGAGGCAAACATGGGCACCCAGGTGAGCAGCCAAGCATGGCACATAGGTTCTTGCTTTGGGGGTAAGGGAAGGTCTCAAACTAGAGGACAAGGAAGAGGTAGCACAGTAAATAGAGTCCTGGACTTGGAGTCAGCAAGAGCTGGTTTCATATCCTGATCCAGTCACTTACTGTGTGACCTTAGGCAAGTCACATAACCTCTCTGTGCCTCAGCTTACCTCTCAGCCCTCATTTCTTTGTTTGACCTCCCAGCATATGGTGACAGCTTCAGCTACCACAAGATATGCCAACTTTTTCTGGCACCTGTAACAAAAGAGCTATGATTTGTTTGATGTGGGTAAGTTATTGGACCACTCTCTCTCCCTCAAAATGATGTGCACCTTCCTCCCATGCCCAAGTCCAATACTCTTAGGTCTAGCACCTTAGCTCAGTGTGAGTGTTAGGATAGGGTGGGGTAAAGAGTCTCATTTAATTGCTGAAGAGGTTTGGACGAACCTTTGGTGATTGGGAGAGATTTTTTTCTTCTTTTAGACAGGACTTTGCGATTTCCTGAGGTCTAGGGAAGTGCCAGGGAGGAAAGTCCCTTCCCCAATGCAGTTCATCACCCGCTTTGCAATGTCTGGTCTTAGAGAGTTGCTTGGGGCCGTTACAGGGTTAAGGGTTAAATAACTGGCTCCAGATTTGAGTCCAGGTCCTTGAGATTCCAGACCAGCCTTTGATCCAATGAACTTCAATAGCTTCTAGTGGGCAGCAGGTATTTCTGTGTTTCATTGGCACAGTGAGGGCTTACTGGAAAACTCTTCCCAGATTTCACTGTATCTGCTGCTGGAGTCAGGGACAGAGACCTTTGTGGGAGCTGCTGTTGGTAATAGGGACCCATGCTTTGGGTGGGCTTTTCTAACACTGTAGGTATCAAAGAAGAGGGAGATGGAGGGATGTGAGCGAGCCAGCCACCACGGGAGCTAGACCAGAGAGGAGTCGCTACCATCACCTGCCGTGCCCTGCCATGACCTGCCACTACCTTCCAGGACCTCTGAGGCCCTGCTGGGGTTCAGGGCCATAGCTCTGCAGGAAGGCAAGTGAAGAGGCAAAGACTTCAGGCTTTGGGAAAGGGCTGCTCATTGAGTTCTGTTTGTCCAGGTGTACTGGGGGTAGAGAGGGTGGGGAAGCACTAGGCCTACATTTTCCCAGGTTTCTTGAGTCCAAAGGGTGAGAAAATCCTCCAAATCGAGAATGAGAGGCAGGAGGTAGCAGTGGCTAGGACGCTGGATTTGTGGGGAGGAGGACCGGAGATCAAATCCTCCCTCTGATCTTTGGTAGCCCCATGTCCCAAGGCAAAACAATGTCTCACTAAGCCTTAGCTTCCTCAGCTTTTATTTTTTTTTTGGAAAGGCAATGGGGTTAAGTGACTTGCCCAGGGTCACACAGTTAGTAAGTGTCAAGTGTCTGAGGCTGGATTTGAACTCAGGTCCTCCTGACTCCAGGGCCAGTGCTCCATCCGCTGTACCACCTATCTGCCCTGCTTCCTCAGCTTTTAAAAGGGGATAATGACACCTGTCCTGTCTATTTCCTGGTTTACTGGGAGGCCCAAATGAGACAATGTATGTAAGGGTCATTTAGTGACTGAAATGCCACGTGATAAATGCCATGTAATGTTGTCGTTTTGGGACATTATTCAGTCTTATCGTTCAGTTGTATCCAGCTCTTGGTGACCCCATTTGGGGTTTTCTTGGCAGAGATACTGGAGTGATTCGCCATTTCCTTCTCCAGCTCATTTGACAGATGAGGAAACTGAAGCAAACAGGGTTAAGTGACTTGCCCAGGGTCACACAGCTAGTAAGTGTCTGAGACTCTGAACTCAGGAAGAGTCTTTCTCACTCCAGGGCAATCACTGTGCACTATGGTGCCACCTAGTGGCCACAATGACAACGAAACTGTCTACTGCCTGGTTTTACTGAGGCTCAAATGATTCAACGTATGTGAAGTGCATTTAATGACTTTAAATTCTGTGTAATAAATGCTACCTAGTAAATTATTCTTTACAATGTATTTTATTGCATACAACATACATAAAGTAGCAAACCTCAATCTGTTATATAAATGTATAACTATTTTATACACTGTTTTAATATGCCTTATGTATAAATGGGAAGACCTGAGTTCAAATGTGGCCTCAGATACTCGCTAGCTGTGGGACCCTTGGCAAGTCACTTGACATGTTTGCCTCAGTTTCTTCATCTGTAAAATGAGCTGGAGAAGGAAATGGCAAACCACTCTGCCATCTTTGCCAAGAAAACCCCAAATGGGTCACAAAGAGTCAGACACAACTGAAGACAACTGAACAATAACAAATATATACACAGTTCACACATAGCTTTAACAACCTCTGCCACAAAGACTATGTGGTTACTGTATCTTTAAGAGAGTACAAGATCTTGAGGGACTGGGAATTTGAGTGTTAACTCTAGAGAGAATTACTTGTTACTCCTAAAGAGAGACTGAGTGAGGTACAGATAATAATAATGACAATTGCTAGCATTTTTTAAAATTTTGCACATTTCATCCAGCAAAGGAAACCAAGGAACAGTCAGACAGCTGAGTAAGAAAACTAAACACAGTCATGAAAACCCAGAGAGGAGACATTATTCAGGAGGAGGCCATGACCAACCAAGGCGACTACTGCAGACACGTCAAGAAGGCTGAGGACTGAGAAAAGTCCATTTCATTTGGCACCTGGACCACTGGCAAGTCAACAAATCAACAGGCATCTATCAAACACCGACTGTGTGCCAGGCACTGTGCTTAGCACTGGGGATGTTAAGAAAGGCAAAAACAGTCCCTACCCTCAAGGAGCATATATTCTAACGGTGGAGACGTGGAAACCGCTGTGGACAAGCCAAGATAGATACAGGATAAATTAGATTGAAGGGCACAGGAATTAAGCAGGGATCAGGACAGACTTTTTGGAGAAGCTGGGATTTTAGTTCAGACTTGAAAGAAACCAGGAAAAGTAGGGAAGGTGGAAGGGAGGAGGGAGGGCATTCCAGGCACAGTAAACTTTAGAGAGAGAGCACCTTCAGGTGAATGATGAGGTCAGAAATCAGGTTTGGAGATTAAGAATAATTAATAATAATCAGTTAGAAGACAGTGAGAAGCAAGGAAATGTAGGCAAGGAGTCTAGACAGAACAGACAGAGGCTAGATGATAAGCATGGGACTCCCAGAGCCCAAAGCATTAGCCAGCTTTATGATCTCACCAGCCATATCTGGGGAGGGAGGGTTGGGTATAAGGGAATGATGGGAACTCCCATAGTGCAAGAGGTTGACCTCTCAGGAGAGTGAGCGGGGCTCGGGGTGGTCAGGCAGGAGGGTTCTTGGGGAAGAAGGGAAAGCTGTACCATTGAGAATGGAGGCATCGAGCAGGCATGTGAGGCCCCCCAGTAGAAGGGTAAAGGCCTGGCTACTTCTCCTCCCCAGCTTCTTCATGATGATGAGGCAAGAGAGATGGGCAGGCAACTCCACCAGTCTGAACGCCAGCTGGGATCCGTGCACATTCATCAGAAGCTTCTGCACTTGGGAACTCAGCCGTAAATAACTGAAACCGATGGAGAATCTGGAACCCACAGGAGCACGGCCTCAGAGGAGGATCCCCTGCCAGGTTCTGTGCTCCAGGGCCTACACCAGAGCCACACATCTGTCTGCCCTCTTAGAAGGGCAGCACAGGACCTGGGTTCGAATCTCACCCCTGCTGTTTGCTATCTGTGATGTCCTCTTCTAGAAAATGAAACGATTGGCCTCAGTGGCCTCTAAGATCTCTTCCTGCTGTAAACGGATGTACCTTTGAGAGGTAGGATCTTCTTGTAGATTTTGAGATAATGAGGAAACTACCTTAGCAGTGATCTGTTTCTTTAATGGAAAAGTGGAGCATTGCAGACTAATGGCCATTTTTGGAGTGAAGAAGACCTGGGTTCCAGTCCAGCCTCAGACACTCGGGGGTGTGATATTGTGCAGGTTTCTTCCTCTCTCTGGGCCTCAATTTCCTCATCTGTAAAATGGGGTAGTTAGAATGGATAGCCTCTGAGGTCCCTCCTGGCTCTAAATCTTTCACCCTGCCTCTTCATTTCTCAGCATTACAGATGACTCCTACCTAGGACTTTAAGCTACAGACTACTGGTCCTCGTGGGTGGAGGGGGTTGGCACGTGGGAGTTTCCCTGGTGCAAGGGAACGGGACCAACATCTTTTTTTCTTTGCTATTGCTTTTCCTGGTGTTAGAGAGAGATGGAGCTTCTTGGCAAGTCAGCGATTAGATCCCAAAGACTTCTTCCTGCTCGGGAGGACTGGGGACTCTTTGGACAGGGCTGTCTGGGCCTGCCCTTTGAACCACAAGACCCAAGGCCAGACTGGAACTGAATAGGAAGGCTGCTGGCCTGGAAGTCCAAAGCCCTGGGTTCTACAAACTTGACATCCTTGTGTGAGTCACTTCCCGGGGTGGGCGAGCAAGGGTGTTAAGTGAGGAGTCCTGAGCGTGAATCTTGGTTATGCCACTAATCTGTGTGGCCTTGGACAAGTTACTGAATTTTGCTGGGTTTTCAGTTCTTCATTTGAAAAATGAGGGTATTGGACCAGATGACCTCTAAAGACTCTCTCTCTGGGCCTTAGCTTCCTCACTTGTAAAATGGGGAGGGCCATGAGATCAGAGGTCTAGTCATGGAAATGAACTGAGAGATTACCTAGCTCAACCCTCTCATTTGACAGATGAAATCCAGAGGGTCCAATGACTTATCCAAGGTCATATCGATAGGAAGCAATAGCCAGATAATATCTAAGGTCCCTTCCAACTTTAGCACCTGCAAAATGGCAGCCTGGCCAGGGAGGCCCAGAAAATCGTGAATGGCCCTTAATAAAGCTTTATCGACTGACTGACTAGTGGACTAGACCAAAGGAGGCAGGGGGAAAATAGGATTGCAGAGAGGGTTGAGGACTAACCAGCCTGAGCTGGAGAGAACCTGAGACCTGTTTTCCTGCCTCACCCAGCTCTGTTGTTTCTGAATTGATATTTTCTTTTTCCTTGTAAATAACTATCCTTGATCAAGGTTGCCCAGGGAAAGAGAGAGTGGCTGCTGAGTCTAGGCATCTCCTTCCAGGGAAGAGGCAGAAGAAAGGGAGATGAGTGAGGGAGCTGGAATGAACCTCAGAGGCTATCTGATCCAACTGTCCCCATTTTGCAGATGAGAAACTGAGGCCAAGAGGTGTGAAGGAGTAGGATTCAAACCCAGACCCTTTCCCTCCAGTTCTTACACTCATGCATGACAGTGAAACACTTGCCGAAGAGCATTGGAGTCAGAATTTTAAACTGGGTCCCTTGACTCCAAAGCTCATGCTCTTCCCACTGTACCAGGTATTCTGCTGGGGTTAAAGGCAACCATTCATTAACTCCAAGGGTTAAGAAGCTGAGTCAGGAATCAAGAAAGTTGGGAGCAAGGCAGGAGTCAGGGATCTGGGCCAGGGATTAGATACCAGCCAGATGGAGAAATGGAGAAAGAGGAAACCCTAGGCCCAAAGTCAAGAGATCTCCCTAGCATTTGAGGGGTTCCTGGGGCCTTGGGCAGTTTAACAGGGCCCAAAGGCCAGGCCAGAATCCTTTATAGAGCATTAGAAGAGCACAGAAGGGCCTTGGAGAACATGTGGTCCAGCCCCCCTCATTCCACCTCATTTGCGGTAGGGAATGCAAGTGACTTATTTAAAGGATCCTAGCAAATTGGTGGGTGAGTCCAGAGCTACACACATGGCCTCACTCCCCCCTCTTCTTTCTCCTTTCTTCCTTTTCCTCCTCCTTCTCCTTCTCCCTTTTTCTTCCTCTCTCCTTTCTTCCTTCCCTTTCATTCTCCCTTATCCCTTCTGCCTCCTCTGCTTCTCAGGGACCGAGGGATTCCCAGTTCCTCTTTCCCCAAACTTCCCAGCCTGTTTTCCTAACATCTCTCCAGGATGCCCAGAGTTCTCTCCTTTCCTCCCTTCTACCTAAAGAATGGCAGGAAAGGAACAAGTTCTCCCACCAGGAATCTTCTTGAGTCAAGGGAGTCATTTATTTTAAAAGCAGCAAGAACATACCACCCATAGGTCAGGATCAGAGCTATTCCTCAGGCAAGGCCTTTGCAGGATGTCCAGGACTGTTTCATAGGGGATCTTCTCACAGGTCAGCTGTAAGAAGTGCAGGCAAAATAGGGCATTAAAGATCCTGACTTGCCCTTCTGTACCTCTCCTCTCTTCCCAGCTTTCTTCTGCTAGTAGGAATCCTCATTCGTGAAGTCACTTGACAAGCATTTACCAAGTACCTACTATGTCCAGGCACTGTGGAAACAATCAGTCCATCTGTCTGTCCATCTGTCTGTCTGTCCATTCACCCATCCATCTGCCTGTCCACTCGTCTGTCCATCTGTCCATCCATCCATTTGTCTGTTCATCTGTCCATCCATCCATCCATCCATCAATACACTTCCTTTCCTCTCACTCCCCTCTAAACTCTCTGCAGTCTGGGTTCCAATCTCTTTCAACCAAAACTTCTGTCTCCAAAGTTACCAATGGTCTCTTAATTGCCAAATCTAAAGATTTGTTCCCAATGCTCGTCTTTCTTGATCTCTCTGTGGCCTTTGACACAGTATCTCTTGGTTTTCATGACTTTCCTCTCCTACCTGTCTGACCATTCCTTCTCAGTCTCCTTTGATGGATGAAGATCCATGTTCTGCCCAATGACTGTGGGAGTCCTTCAAGGCTCTGGCAGGGTCTCTTTTCTCCTTTCCGTCCATACTCTCTCTCTTACTTGGTGAGTCTCTCTTCTGAGATCTAGCCCCACATCACCAGTGCTGTGTCAAATATTTTTAAACCTTAGGCTCTATATAAGTAGTAGTTCTTCTACGATTCCCTAAGGGGAGAAGCCTGTACTATACACCCTATAAAGTCTCCTTCCACCTCTAAATCGATGTATACCTAAATCCATAATGTATACTTAGAGAGACAAACAGAAAACCCAACACTGACCACATCTGAGTGTGTCTGTCTCATCCTGAAGCCGGAGGCTCATGCCTCTTTACCAGGAAGAGGAGCATGAGAGCCATTTCATGAGAAGCCTGCCCCTGCTCAACCACAGCTCAGAGGGCACTTGATGATTTAGCCCCTGGTGGCCACAGCAAATCTTTGAGGTTAAGAAGAGGAAGACTCTGAAAGCCCCCTCAGAGCATAAGCCATTTTTGCATTTTTTATTTCTATCTCCAGCAGTGAACAAGGTCTTATACAGACTAGACAATCAATGTTCATTGAACTGAATTGAGTCTCCACTTTACTAACGAGGAAAGTCAGAATGGAGAAGTGAGTTGTCCAGGGTTCTGTGGCGACTGGTGATAGAGTCGTAGGGAATGTGCTGGAGCTGGGACTTAAATTGAGGTCCTCTAGCTTTGGGTCTAGTGTGCTGCCCACTACACCAGACTGCCTTGGCTCTTGGGAATCCATCTCTCCCTTCACCGAACTCCAAGAGTCTGGCTCATGCAACCGAGCACTTAACTAGGTTCCACTCTTCATTTTGATCCAATGGTTTTGTGGGCATGAGCCAGTTCTTTTGTCTGCCCTCACAGTGCCTAGGACAGGGCCAAGCAGGTTGCTGACAATAAATTTTCTTACTTTTGACTCTGAATATTGCACTGTCTTGGTTTTGTTACACTTCTTGGGCCATTCTTCTGTCCCTTTCAATGGCAGCCTTTCCTCTTCCCATCAGAGGCAGCTGGTGGTACAGTATTCAGAGTGCTGGGTCTGGAGTCAGGAAGGCCTGAGTTCATATGCAGCCTCAGACACTTTCGAGCCGTGTGATTCCGGGCAAGTCACTGACCCTCTGTTTGCCTCAGTTTCCTCAACTGTAAAGTGGGTATGAATAATAGCACCCTACCTCCCAGGGTTGTTTTGAGGTTCGAATGAGGTATTTACAAAAGTGCTTAGCTTAGTGCCAGGCATGTACAAGTGCTTCTTCTCTTCCCTTCGCTTTCCTCTAATCCCTGGAACAATCAGATTCACCTGATTCTTCTGTGTAGCCCCTGTAGCATCAGCAATGGACCAGATGCCGGCTGCATATAAGTCATGGTGCTGAGTGCTGGGGTTGTAAGACAGAACTGCTGCACGCTCTCAGAGAGGTTACCTCCTACTAGGAAGTTATGACTCGGGGTCATAGATTGAGGCTAGAAAGGATCTTAAGAGGATATCGAGTCCAATCCTCTCATTTTAAAAATGGGGAAACCAAGGCATAGAGGGATCCTGATCATAGGATACAAAACCACAGATTTGGAGCTGAAAAGGAATCATCTAGTCCATCCCACTCCCTATTTGACAAACAGATAAGGAAACTGAGGCCGAGCGGTTAAGTGACTTGGCCAAGGCAACACAGCCAGTCTTCTTGACTTGGAGTCCAATGCCATCTTCCCTGAATCACAGAGATGACATACAAGTAACAATGCTACAGACAGAATAAACTGGAGATAACCACAGAGGGAAGGCGCCAACGTCAATGGGAGAGAAAAGGGCTTCCTGGGGAAGGTGGGCTTTTGTTTGGGACTTGCAGGAAGCCAGAGAAGTCAGGAGGCAGCGATGATGAGGAAGAGGATTTCAGGCATAGGAGAGAGACAGTGCAAATGCTCAGACTCGAGAGATGGAGCACCTCGGTGAAGGGCAGCAAGGACTCCAGTGTCACTGGAGAGGAGGAAGGTGTCAAAAGACTGAGAGGGGAGGAGGGAGTCAGGTCATGAAGGACTTTGGACGCCAAACAGCGTTTTGTATTTGATCCTGGAGGCAATAGGGAGCCACTGGAGTTTATTGAGCAGGGGAGTGACGTGGTCCGACCTGTGCTTTAAGAAAATCACTTTAGTGGCTGAATGGAGGATGGGCTGGAGTGGGGAGAGATTTGGGGCAGGCAGAACCACCAGCAGCTGTTGCAGCAATGCAGGTGTGAGGTGATGAGAGCCCTTGCTAGATTGGATAAGGGATTAGATGGCGTGGAAGCCTTCAGGGGCTCCTTTTTGCAAACCCAGCCATTCACAAACCTGCAGCGATCATCTCATCAACGAACATTGACTAGTTGCCTGAAAGGTGCTGACTCTAGCATTACAAGAAGAAAGTGAGAGAGCCTTTGTTCTCAAGGGACTTACTTTCTGCCCGAATGTATCCAACCCTAGCTGGCATTTCCAGCTTCCTGTCCTACTCCTTGCTTTCCCCAGGCTTTCTTCATCCATTCTGGCTAACTCATTTTTCTGGGAATGCCACTTGTCACTTCTTGACTTCATTCCTCATTTCATTCTGGAATTTCCCAGTTCTAATTTCATATTGTGTCCATCCTTCAAGGCCCAGCTCAAATCCCCCTTTCCCTGTGAAATCATCCTTTATAGTTCTAGCTCACTATGACATCTTCTTCCTTTCAATTAATAGCAATTATCATTATCATTGTTATCATTAACAACAATAATCTTTACAGCAGCCCACACTGATCTAGTGCTCGGTAATTGGCAAAGCATTTTTCTTAGTACCACTTGGTGAGCTACATAGTGCCAATATTGTTAGCTTTATTTCATAGGTCAGAAAACTGTGCCTCAGACACTTGCCTGTGATCAAATATTAAGTGGCCCAGTAGGGACTATAGATCTTTTTTGCCTTGTAGAGAAACAATGAGGTTTTCTTCTGATTAGGTTATAGCTCAAAAAGCAGCTGTGGAGTAAGGATTGGGGAATGGCCTTGGAATCAGTAAGGCTTCTGCCTCTGGCATATACTAGCTATATGACCCTTAGAAAGTCACTTAACCTCCTAGTGCATAGCCAGCTCATAAGACCGTATGTGACAGAAGAGACACTGATCTTCATTGGCATAGGGAGTTTCCTGTACCATGGAAATTATGGTCTATTCAACAGAAAGATACAGTGCCAAAGTTAGATGGATTTGTTGCTGATAGATACATATTGTGAAGGGAGTACCAGACAACTATCTGACTTAGGGTTAGACATTCCCAAGATTCTCTGTGGTTTAAAATGAAAATGAATTTGAGGTAGAACAAAATTCAAGTGATAGAGACAGGAGTCTCCCCTCATTTTGCTTTCATTCTTGTCATGTCTGTCAACTACAAAGCCCCATATCTGATGTTTCATTTTAGACAGCTTAAAGAACTCCTTCTTGTCTTTCCATAGTGTTGGTTTGTTTTTTTGGGTTGGTTTTTTTTTTGGCTATACTATCATTTGTGTATCTTTTTTGGGGGGGGCTAGGCAATGGGGTTAAGTGACTTGCCCAAGGTCACACAGCTAGTAAGTGTTAAATGTCTGAGGTCACATTTGAACTCAGGTCCTCCTGATTCCAGGGCCAGTGCTCTATTCGCTGCACCACCTAGATGCCCCTCTGTACTATTGTTTGGCAGGAAACCCATTATGCCTTGAAGGCAGGAACCTGTGTCTTATTCATCTTTAGCCCCAGGGCTAAATACTAAAGAAGGTGCTTTGTTCCTATCAGCTACTCATTAAATTTCTGCCTAGCTGGTGGATGGAAAGTCCAGAACAATACAAACTCGGGCCCTGACAACTGTCAGTGTTAATTATTCCCTACCAAAGTAGGATGCTAAATGGGGTGATTCAGGGAGCTAAAGTTTGCTGTTCTTCCTTTTCTCTTTCCCACTCATCCCACCTCTAGGTAAGGAATCCATCCCATCTCCTTTCTTTCTGTTTTTAAAAATTAATTCATTTTTTATTAATTGATTTATTTTTAGTTTTCAACATTCGCTTCCGTAAGCTTTTTTTTTTTTTTGCTTTTAGGCAATTGGGGTTAAGTGATTCCATCAGCTTTTGAGTTTTAAATTTTCTCCCTTTCCTTCCTCGTTTCCCTCCCTCATCTCTTTTCCTAGTGCTCCCTCTAGACCAATCTCAGGGACCGAGATAGGGGTCCCCTAGAGGTCCCATGTGGTCCATTCCAGAATGGTTAGAGGCTTGAAGGCATGCCCTCCATGAATAGGGATGGAGGCAGGGAGGATAATGAGGAGGCTCAGATCTGGGCAGGCAGCTTACCTGCCGGAGGAGCGCAGGGGGTACGGTTCTCTTGTCGACAAGAGGCTGCAGTGCACAGGACACACTTTGCCTTTTCCATGTTTCCTCTCATTATCAGCCACAATGGGGACTCAGGAAGAATCCTGCAGAGGGTGTGCAGGGGCTGAGGTTTTCCCGACAGTGAGTCAGGGAAGGCTTCTCTCCACCTGGGCCAGCTTCCCTTCCTCTCCCCACCTTCCCACCCCTTTGAGGACAGCTGTGCCTGGGTGCTGGTTTCCTCTCACCTTGGTCCTTGTGGGGGTCATAAAGTGAGAAGGCTCTGGGCCACTCTGCGACACAGGGAGGGTATCCTCTCAGGGAAAGAGGACCATATTGCCAGGTCAAGCTAATGCCACGAGGTCATGTAATCAGGGCTCTGGAGAGCCTGAGCTCCAAGTCCCAACTCTAGGTTGGAAGGTTTCTGAGCCTGGTCTAAGTCATCTATGACACAAACATAGGAAAAGTATAGATTCATGGGGGGGGGTGCCAGGGAAGCAACAGAGAAAAAAGGTTGTCTCTGGGGTTAGAGGGCCTGGGTTTGAATCCCACCTTTGTCTCTCAATGACTCTATGACCTTGGGAAAGTCACTTAGCCCTTCTAAAATGGTTTCCTTATCTGTAAAATGAGGGGATTAGACCAGATGGCCCCTGAGCTCCACAGAAAATCCTGGCCCATGGACCTGGGTCCTAGCTGAAAGTGGGGGGTGGGGCACTGATTGAATTCCTGGCTCTGCCTTCCTCCCCTCTTCAGTCGCTGTCTCCATGAGATTCTGGGGACACCAAGAGGGGAACTGTGTATAGCGAGAAGAGGAGGAGGGTACTTAGGGAGAGAGGTGGGGACAAAGAAGAGGCTGTCTGGATAGACTCATTTGAGGGCACAGATAGGACTCTAACCTCCTCATTTATGACATTTCTTTGACAGATTGCCTTTCTGTCCCTCTGGGAGCCTCAGAGGTGGTTTATCCCTTGATCATCTGATGTGGATGAGGCTTTCTCTTCTGAATGTCTTCCCCTTTCCCACTCCTCATTGCAAGAGCATAAGGACTCAAACCTTGCCCAAGAATTGGCCTGATCTTTCTGCAGGTCTTCTCTTCCCTCCACACCGCTGGGGCCCTCACCAGTTATAGGAGATCAGGAAGATCACTGGGGCACTTCCAGCCAGCTGGAGCATTCTCCAATGAGGGATGGAGTAAGCCAGGGCAGAAAGGATCAAGAGGCCCAGGACAAAGAAGCAGTACCCAAGGATGATGGCGTGGGCTCTTCGGGCGATGGCCAACCATTCGGTAGCTGAAGGAAGAGTCCGTAGGAGACCATCCTTGGGACTGCCATTTCTGCCACAGGCTTGGCCTCCCTCAAACCATGCTCTGGTGGGTGTCACAATCTGCAGCCTCCCTGACTTTCCAAGCCTGCAGTAACAGTCTTTGGAAATCAGAATCCACACGGGACCAGTTCCATGAGCAGCCCTTACAACGTAGTGGTTAGGACTGTGCTCAGGTCGGTCAGATGGGATTAGGATTGTATTCCTTCAAGATCCCTATGATGGGGTGCTTTGGTGCTTGTGTTGGGGTGCTTGTGCTTGTACTTGTACCCCAATTTCTCCCTAGCCTCAGAAACACTATCCCTGACAGTTTCTCTCCAGCCCAAGGACATTGTGCCTAGCAGTTGTTCATGCATGGGCCTCAGCACGACCCTTATCTCTCTCCCTGGTACAGCTACACAGAGCTGGGCTGCTCAGTCCATGGCCCTCAGATCATGTCTCTGGAAGCCTCCCAATTCCTTAGTAAGTTCCTGTGTTGTGAGAAAGCTTTCCCTTGTTGCAGAGCATTCTCTCATCAAGACAGAGGGAGAGGGGTGCCTTGCCCAGCCCAAGGAGTTTTTTCCTTGGCCAGCCCAAGGACTCTTCCTCCTGCCAGACTCTGAAGATCCGTACCTCTGTCACCTCCCTCCCTGTCCAGTATACTCCCTGTACTTTCCCATCCATAGCCCCCAAAGACACCTGCACCTTTGGATTACCTCATCAGTGTCCCTGGCATTTCTTTCCCATGCTCTTTTCCATATAAACCCTAGCTGCATTCTCACTCTCTTGCAGGATCCCTAGGAATCCTTGCCCACCGAAAAGTGTAACAATAAATCTTTGCCACCTTGACTTAAAGAATGCTTGAGTCTGTGAATTCAATCCAGACGACCCGTCCTGTACTCTGGTCTTTGAGGGATCACAACCTCTCAGCCTCTTACACCATAATACCTACCCTGTCTGGGATCCAGGAAACTAGGAGCCCCAAATCATTCCTCCATCCAAGCCCAGACTGCCCTTCCCATACCTTCCAGAGGAGCAGCTGAGTGCCAATTGCCTTAGAACTGGGACCAAGGGACCCCTGGTCGAGGCAGCAGCCAGCAGAGCAGGGAAGGTCAGCCAAGACAGAAGGCCAGAAACCACACAGACCTCGGTCTGTCTCCAGAAGCCAAAGGATCATAGATGCAGGGCTGGAAAAGACCTCAGAAGCCGAGTCCTGCCCCCTTATCTCTGATACTTTGTGTTTCAGGCACTGGACTTGAAATCAGAGGAACCTGACCTGGTCCAAATGCCACTGCTGCCACTAACTAGCTGTGTGACCTTGGGAAAGTCACTTAACTTCCTTGGGCCTCAGATTCTGTGAAATTAAGGAATTAAACTAGGAGATCTCTAAGGTCCCTCTCAGCTCTGAATCCTTGGACATTGAGCAATAGTGGTCCTGAATTATCAAAGTTAAAACTCACATCCTTTCTTATCTTTCCTTTCTATTAATAATCAGTAAACCACCATAATAAAATGTGATGGGCATTACCAGTATGAATCACTCTCATGCCACTTTTTTTTTTACCTTTGTGAAGGTTTCTTTGGGTATTTATTGGACTTCCAAACTATATGAGTAGCAAAAAAAATAAATAAAAAACAATATATATATATATGAGATGGTTCTGGAGAAGCCTTGTGGGTTGGGGTATGAAGGGACAGACCCAGGAGTGTGCTGCTCCATGCATCAGCTTGGTATGTTTGTTTGTTTGTGAGGTGGGTAATAGTTTGCTGTCTCTCCACTGAAGAGCTGGGCTGCTGAAGGGTCCATTCTTAAGAACCATGTGCCTCCCCTTCCCAGTGGATCTATTTAGTTTTTCCCAGGTGGAGAGGGGAAGAGGCCAAGAACCTCACTCTTTCATCCTTGGGAAGCCCTCTCCCAGTCTGGGGGTCTCATCTAAAGAGACATTGCTTATTGCATAGCCCATGATGGCAATGCCAGTGCCAAACTGGAAGGTCTTATGGATGCTGAAGCTGGGCACAAAGGCTGTATGAAACCCAAACACAGTACAGAACATCAGCATGATCACAATGGTTTTATAGTGGCCGATCCTACAGGAAAGAGGATTGGGAAAGAGTTCCAGGAGGTTTCCTAGTCTTCCATCAGTCCTGTCCAAGCTCTAAAACAACTACACACCCCAAAGAATGGAACTGGAGTCTTCTTTTGAGGGGGATTGTAACCACAGGGTACTTCCCCTATTTTTTTTTTGGCAAGGCAATCAGGGTTAAGTGACCTTCCCAGAGTCACACAGCTAGTAAGTGTTGTGTGTCTGAAACTGGATTTGAACTCAGGTCCTCCTGACTCTAGGGGCCAGTGCCCTATCCACTCTCCTCCTAGCTGCCTCTACCCCTCTATTTTTAAAGAAAGGAAACAAAGACCTAGAAAGGTTAAAAATAAATGGGCCCAAGGTCACAAACGTAATGAGTAACAAAACCAAGAATGCAGGTCCAAGACCTGCTTTATATTCTGATGATGTATCAATATAATAAGCCTTCCAAGAGAGAATAGTAGGAGTTGCAAGTTAAGCAACTGAACTCTGTTTTAAGTTGTATTGTCAATGGGTATCATTTTTGTCTTGTCTTAGCATTTTGTGTGTAGGAAATAAATATCTGCCCTTATGTGATTTATACTGTACATTCAGTACTTTCCTTTCCTACCTTTGGAGGGACTGTAGACATGAGTCTCAACCTAAGTTTTCAATAACTTGTCCTTGGAGTGCCAGGGTAGGGGTTTAATGAGCCAAAGAATGTAAGAAAAGGGAACCTCACCTCACTTTCATTAGGGGCCAGGTTCCTTAGGATTGAACCCAGCATAGACTGTGAGGGTGGGTCCACAGCAGATGAACCCTTTAGTAAAAAGGGATTGGGTGCAGTATCTCTTGGACACAATGTTCTCTTAACATAAGAAATACAACAGATATAACTTGGTTCTAAAAGTTTCTGATAATGAACATCCAACAAGGCTTAAGACAAGGAGACACTCCACTGGAGTGGAGGAGACCTAGGACAGAATCCAAATCGTAGAAGGATTCTCTATAGATGAGGAGGTCCTCCAGATACTCTTGCTTGTGATGGCATTATGCTGACTGCATCAAGCTGCAATGCGCATCAAGCTGCAATGCGACTGAGCCTCCTGGATGAGGTCAGTCATCAGAGTTCTGCCTGACTATCCATCCACACAGGAAAGACCCAGTGGATGAAGAATGCCTTGGTCTAGACTATGCCCTGAAGCTGGATGGAAAACAGAGTTTGTCCTGTTGTTGAGTCATCTTTCAGTCACATCTGACTCTTCGTGACCCCGTTTGGGGCTCTCTTGGCAGAGATACTGGAGTGCTTTGCCATTTCCTTCTCCCGCTCACTTTACAGATGAGGAAACTGAGGCAAGCGGGGTGTAGTGATTTGCCCTGGGGTGTCTGGGGCCAGATTTGAACTCACATAAGTCTTCCTGACTCCAAGCCCGGAGCTCTATCCACTGTGCCACCTAGCTGCCCATCAACAGAGTTTGTCCATTAGCATGCAAATATCTTGGGTAGATGCTGCCAAAAGACAACAGTTTGGGCCCAGAGCTCAACAGGAGGAAGAAAGTGGGCTGGATTACTTTTGGGGAAATGCTCAATTCTTTTAAGGGCTCCAAATTTCTTCCTGAAACAAAAGCCTATCTTTTTAAGATGATTGTTCTATCGGTGCCACTGGATAACTTCAAGTCGTGGAATACTCTAGACTCCAAAGAACTGAAAATTCGTATCATCAAGGGGGTTATAGAGGGACACATGGTGGGTGAAGAAAGCATGATGGAAAACAAGAATGAAAGGTTTCACCAAAAAAGGTGATGATTGGAAAAGAAGACAAGCTGGTCACACGTGTAAAAGCAAGGGAGAATCAAGGGACAACCTGTATGTTCACTGGTGGTATCATGATGTCAAGACAGAGAGAGGAAGGCCCCCACTAAATTAGGTGGTCCCTTTGGGGCAAACTTACACAAAGATATATACTAGTCACAAAGGATGGGCAGGCAGGTTTGTGGTCTGCATCCCTGGGTGGGTGGGTGGGTGGGAAACATTCATATTGATGAGATCCCAGACCCATTGGAATATTGGGTTATTGGGCATTCTGTCGATTGGTGTAAAGCATACGCATTCTACAGCTTGATAGGTGGTCTTAAGGAATTTCTAGGGCCAAAGAATTCAGCACCCTGGGTTCAACCTGGTGATCAGCATTGCAAGCTTGGCTGAACGGGTTCATAAATGAGACACGTAGGCTGTCATTAGCCCATACTAAAAACCTTTTCAATTTGATAGCACCTTCAGGAGAAGCTCCAGTGATTGCCTAAAGCCTCAAGGATAGAATACAAACTCTTAAAGCCCTTCACACTCTTACCTCCCACCGACCTCTCTGAGTTGATTTCATGTGATTGTTCCAGCCAAACTTGGCATTCCTTATCCCACCTTTGTACCTTTTTACAGGCTCTGCATCCCTAGCTGGAATGACCTCCCTCCTCCCCTCTACCTCTGTGAATCCTTAGCTTCCTCCAAGGCTCAGCTCAAGTGTTGCGTCCTACAAAATGTGTTCCCGGGCTGCTCCAGTGGTCAGTACTCTCTCCTCCAGCTCCCATTATTAACTTCATATTTACCTTGTGAGTACTTTGTAGGTACTTTGTGTCGGCTTATGTAGGTCCATAGCTTTTCCATGACCCACCAGAAAAATGTAAACTTCTTGAGGGCAGGAACGGTTGTTTTCTTTTTTTTTTTTTGCCTTGTAACCCTGACTCTGGCACAGAACGTACATGTAGCAGGTGCTTAATAAATGTTTGTTGAGTTGGATTGAACTGAGCCTTTCAGAGCTTGCATTCCTCTGCTATAGCCTTCGAGAGTTTGTGGGGTGCAGGGGATGTGGTAGTGGGCTTAGCGAAAGGAAGAACAGGGTTTAAATCCCATCTGATACTATGTGACCTTGGAGGACTAAATTTCTCTGAGCCTCAGTTTACCTCTCTGTAACATACAAGAGTCAAACTAGATGATCCCAGAGGTGCCCTCTAGCTCTAAGTCTCTGATTTTATGATCTTTATGCCCTGACAAAATTTGAATTCCAGGCATTTTTTTTCTGGCTATCCTTCATGCCCTGGAACATTCTCTCTTTTCACTCTGACTACTGACCTCCCTGGCTTCCTCTAAGTCCCAACTAAAATTTCACCTCCTACAAGAAGCTTTCCCAACTCCCTCTTAATTCTAGTGCTTCCCCTCTGTTAATTATTTCCTATTCATCCTGTATATAGTTCATTTTGTATATATGTGTTTGCATGTTCTCTTCTTCATTGGATTGTAAGCTTCTTGAGGGCAGGGACTGTCTTTTATCTCTTTTTGTATCCCCATCACTTAGCACAGTGCCTAGTACATAGTAGGAGCTTAATAAATGTTTATTGAGCTGAATTGAATTATAATTGAATTACAAAGACTACCTCCTGGGTAGAATGAGGTAAATTATCTCACAAAAAAAACCAACAGAAAAGAAAAGTCTCTTACAGTGGAGGGGAAGCAGGGGAAGGTGAGAGGGAATGAATGAATCTTATTCTCATAGGATTTGGCTTAAGGAGAGAATAACATACACATTCAATTGGGTATGGAAATCTTTCTTACCCTACAGGAAAATAGGGGGAGAAGGGGACAAGAGAGCAGGGGGATGATAGAGAGGAGGGCAGATTGGGAAAGGGGGTAGTCAGAAGGAAATACTCTGAGGAGGGACAGGGTCAAAAGAAAGAATAGAATAAATGGGAGGGCAGGATAGGCTTAAGGGAAATAGAGTTAGTTTTTCACAACATGTCCACGATGGAAGTGTTTTGCCTAACTGCACATGTATAACCTATATTGAGTTGTTTGCCTTTTCAATGAGGGTGGATGGGGAGGGAGGGAGGGAGGAAGAGAGAAAATTTGAAACCTAAAGTTTTAAAAACATATGTTTAAACAAAAATGTTTTCACATGCTACTGGGAAATAAGAAATACAGGAGATGGGGTATAGAAGTCTATCCTGCCCTAGAGGAAAATAGAAGAGGAAAGGGATAAGAGAAGGGGGGAGAGATAGAAGAGAGGACAGACTAGGGGAAGGGATATTCAGAATGCACGCCATCTTGGGGTGGAGGGAGGGGTGAGATGGGGTGAAAATTTGGAACTCAAAAACTTGTGGAAGTGAATGTTGAAAACTAAAAATAAATTTATATTAAAAAAATAAATAAATTTAAAAAACCAAAAAACAAAGACTACTCCTGTCATTGTAAGGAGCTCATATAATCTCCTGAGAGAGGAAGGCAGGCTTTAGGAAATGTCGCAGCCACCTCTCAGACCAGCCCCAAGGTGGGCTTTCATAGCCCACCTGGAGTACCTGTCACATAGGGTGCCGATGATCAAGGGTCCAAACAGAAGGCCAGCCACCAAAGCAGAATATGCTCTCAAGGGCTCACAGGCTTTGTTACAGACCAGGTTAAACTAGAAGGAATGAGAAAACGTTTCAAGGTGGGTTTTTTCATATGATGGGAGTAGATGGGGCTTTACTATGACTTTTGAATGTGAGGCAGAAGGTGCACTAGCAGGGCCACAGTCAAAAGATTCAGGTTCAAAGCCTGGTTCTGTCATTACTATCTGCATGATGTTGTTGGACAAGTCATTTAACTTCTGTGGGCCTCAGTTTCCATCTCTGTAAAATGAGGGGGTTGGGCTATCTGTCCTTTGAAGTCTTTTCCAAGCTCTAAATCTCTGGCTCTGTGGTCCTCAGCAGTTTGCCTAGGGGCTTACCCCTGTAAACGCTCAGCCTTTGGGCCATGGGACTTTGGGAACCTGCCTGTTTGGATTTGTGAAGATCACCCCACCTGGACCCTGGCGTGGGATCCCTCAACCAGCTCTAACTCTCTTCTTGCTGCTCACCTGGCCAACCACTCCCCAAGGCATTACCTAGGGCTTCATTTTTTACAGGGATTTGGAGGGGTTTGGGGGAGAGCTCCAGCAAGTCACGGCTTTTACTCCGCCATCTTGGCTCTGTACCACCCCCCACCTTGGGCTTCATAGAAAGGGAGGTCAAGAGCCCCAAGTTCAAATCCCAGCTCATCTATTAACTCCCCGGGCAAACTTGAGTTTGCTTCTCTATAAAACGAGGGGCTTGGGTGGACTTGAGTATGTCTGAGGCTGGCTTCGAGATAATCTTTAGGGGTGTGGTGGGCTTCGTGGAAATGAGGAGACAGCAACCTCATTGGCCAGGGACCGCTTCCTGTGTTGGAGGTAGATCCGGCCACTCGGGCAGTCATTCAGGCCATACTTGACAACAGAGTCAAAGTCGCGCTGGATGGCGAGCGCACCCGGCACTCCTCAAAGGAGCCATCAGTCTTTCTGGGCAGGGTCAGGTTGAATAGTTCAGTCGAAGTCAAGTGGGGTCAAATGGCCAAAAGCCAAGCGGTGCTGCAGTGATGAGGCTGCTTCTTAAGCATGAGCAGACAGGATATTGGGGATAAAGGTGAGGGCCACCAGTCTCCTCTGAAATGTCCCAAACTCCCTTGCTGCCTTGAGAATATTTGTATACCCTGACCTCACTACTATAGTTCTTACCTTGGGAAAGCAGCCGATCAGAGACCCCAAAAATGACCTGGTTAACTCTCTTTGTTCTGGAGCCTTCTTCTAACTTGGTCTGCATGGGGAGTTCCAGGCGGAGGTGGAGGACTTGGAGGACAGAGACCACTGCCAACCACGTGCGGGCAAGGTTGCTTTGCTCCTCTGGGCCTTGGTTTACTCATTTGTAAATTGAGGGGGGCTGGGCTAGCTGATCTCTGACGTCCATTCTAACTCTGATATTCTGTGGGTCAGGTCAAAGCCAGTTGTAGAGATAGATACCCTGTGTGGATCTGGTTAGCACTTTGGACTGTTAAAGTTCTTTCACTGTGCCCCTCCTGCTTTTTAACCAAACAACTGCTTCATTAGACAAGAAGTAGCATGATAGAGTGGGGAGAGAGCCAGTCTTGGCACCAAGAAGACCTGGGTTCAAGTCCTATCTCTGATCCATCCTGGCTGTGTGACCCTGGGCAAGTCCTAAGCAACTCTCCTAGGCTGTAAGCTGCAGCAGAAAATGTCAACCTTCATCTGTGCAGGGCATCTCCTGTCAATGAACTCATATGTCCGGTACCTCTGTTCTCTTTTTCTCCCACATCCTATGGCAGAATGAGGACTCATCTTCCAGCCTAGAACCTGCTAGTTTGTGGCATGATCCTGGGCTAGTCAGCACGCTTCTGGCTCTCACCCAGAAAATGGGAATAATGATCTTCTACTAGTTACCTTACTGGGTTGCCAAGTACCTAATAGAGCCAGGGCTGGATCCCAGGGCCCTTGACTCCACTTTTATCATGACCTGTGAGGGTAGGGTAGGGCAAGTGATATTATTTTAGTATGGGAAGTAAGTGATTTACCTCCAGATTTACCTCCAATTACCCTGGAGGTAATTGTCACAGCTAGGTCTAGAACACAGGTCCCCTTAATCCAGGGCTCTCTTCACTATGCCGTACTTGTTTTTCCAGGAAGAAAGCAAAGAGGTTTTTTATTAGAGACAGAAAATGGCTCAGGGTAGGTGACTATGGGTGTGGAATACTACATACTCTAAGGAGAGGCACTTGGATCATAAATGTGTCTGATCATTAAATTGAAGGGTTTTTGTTTTGTTTTCATTTTTTCTCTTCTTTTAAAACAAAGATGGCTAGAAAAGGGAGGAGGGGCTGATTTGAAAATGAAGATGATATAAGAAAAAGTTATAATGAATTTTTAAAAAATTATTTCTGAGAAGAAATCAATTACCCAAAGAGTATTTATTAATTCCTCTTTGCCAAGTGCTGTGCTAGGCATTGGAGATACAAGGATATTTTCCCAATGAGCATGAGGCAGGACCTTCCCAAAGAGCCCGTATGAGCTGATCCAAGGGAAACCATGAAGTTTATACTTGCAGGCTCAAGAAGCAATCTCCTCTGTCCCCCTTTAGAGGATTTCACCAAATACAAGGTTTCTTTGACCTCTGACCTGGCTTACATAGGGCCTATCCCACTGTGGGAACTCAAGCACCTTCAAGATACCTTGGCTTCCTCTTCCCACGGACACCATTCAGCAATTAATAAACACCCATTTTAGGTGAAATACTAGTGGGGACATTGGGCCCCAGGGATGCCATATCTTAATACTCGCTCCTCCTACTAAGTGAGTGTTTCTGGTGCCAGAGACAGGACCTGAGCTACTACCACCTGGTCAGAAGGAAGTCAAGGGCCTTGCTGTCAACCACTCCCAGAATCTCACCAGAACTGCTGAGTGTCTATCAGTGCTGGCTACCTTCCTGTCAGGCTCCACTTAACTTCACACTTCTCATCAAGCTGAGAAACAGAGACGGGGCTGTCTCCAGAATCCAGCTCCATCAGAGTCCTTCAACAAAGAAGATTCTCTGGGCTCAGGATAGCTTCATACTGGGGTGGAAGGGCAGGAAGTGGGGGAAGGGCATAGGCTACTGATTGCAGTCAGCCATGACTAGGCCTCATCAACTGAAAGGACCAGCCATTGGCCCTTAGCCAACCAAGAGGAAGTCCACGTTGGGGAGAGGGACTCTCTATCCAATGATGAGGAAGCCCCTGGGGGAAGAGCCTTCTGCTGCTGACTTCATTTCAGTTTGTCTATGGATTTAGGGGAGCAAGCTCACAGATGCCCCAAGTTAGAGGGGGACCAGGAAGGTGATGGGATTCCACACTGCCATATGAGGCTGAGTTAAAGGAACTGCAAATGTTACCAGAGCCAGAAAGGACATTAGAGATGCTCTAGGTCCAGAGGTCAGCAAGCTTTTTCTGGACAGGGCCAGATAGTAAATATTTTAGGCTTTGTGGGCCAAGAAGCAAAACCAAAGATAGCAAGCAGGTACTTATGTAACAAGAAAGAAAACAAATTTGTTATTAATGGCATTCAAAATACAATAACAAAAATTGAGTATATTTTTCGAGGGGGTGACTAATGAGAAAAATTGAATTCTTTACTAGGGGGAACATTTCTCTTAATTGGGATTCAAAGTCAGTGCTTCCTATCATCAAAATCGATTGCAAATGTTCATCTGTTAATTCCGGTCAGTAATGAGATTTCACATGTTTCATCTTTGAAAATATCTCTTCACACAGAAGGGCGCTGCCAAATTCTGATATTGCTCCATGAGCAAATGATTTTAATTGAACCAAAAGTCTGTTTTCTCTGGATTCATTTCTCTGGCTACCGTTCTCAACCATCATTTAATTAATTCGCCATCAGGACACTGCTTTCCTTTCTTCTTCCTTTCCTTACTTGACTAATAAATGAGCCCCTTGGCAAACTTACTTTGACTGTATTCTTATTTTCATTTTTATTTTTGTCAGGAAACTCTGTTGTGATGAGGTATTCCCTTCTACATTTTCTAATTTTTCTGACTTGCTACCTGTGGGTTACAAATATTGTGATGAGCACTTAGTCCAGTAACCTTTTAGCACAGCTATGACATCATCACATAATAAATAATAATTTGATAACAAAGTAATCCGTACTCCATTGTGCCTTAATAGGGCAACATTTGAAGTCCATTTTTTCCTTCATTTACAGATGAAGAAACCGAGGCACAGAGAGGTTAAATGACTTAGAGTCACATAGCTTGTCATTGCTGATGTCATTGCTCCCCCCCTTTTTAAAAAACAAAATTTTAATTGATTCCCTCATGCTTTAAAATCATATTTATTTCCAAATATATCTATTCTCCTATTCAAGCTCTCTGTAAACTCTTCTCTGGAGCCAAGACTGGTCATTGCAATGATACAGTGTTCAATCGCATTTCTTTGTTCTTTCCATTTACATTGTTATAGTCGTTGTGTATGTTGCATTTTTGGTTCTGCTTATTTAATTTTACATCAGTTCATGTACCTTTGTTTCATTTCTTCATATTCATCCTTTCTTTTGGCACATTCCTGTATGATTCCTTGTTTGGCTATTCCACAAATGATGTACACCTACATTGTTTCCTGTTCTTCGTCACCACAGAAGTGCTTCAATGAATATTTGGGTGTATTTGGAACTTTTCTCTATCTGACCCCATGCCCAACAGTGGGATTGATCTTTAGGTCCAATAGTAAGAACATCTCTCTCTCTCTCTCTCTCTCTCTCTCTCTCTCTCTCTCTCTCTCTCTCTCTCTCTCTCTCTCTCTCTTTCTCATTACAGATGGCTTTCCAGAATGGTTGGACCAAACTTCACTTCCACTAATACCCTATGTGTGTTTGTCTTCCTACAGATCTTCCAACATGAACTAGCTCCATCTTTTGTAATCTTTTCAAACTTTTTGGGTATAAGGGGAACCTCACAATTGTTTTGATTTGCAGTTTTCTTTTTATTAGTAATTTGAAACAATCTTTCATACAGTTGTTTATAGTTTGTAATGATGCTTTTAAGAAGTCTTTGTTTATGTCCTCTGATCATTTGGTCATTAGGAATTGTGTCAGAAATATCAATGCTAGTGTTGTGCTCTGCATTTTTCCATTCAAGTCTGCCAGAAACAATTTGATTCAATATTATCCAAGCACTTCTGGCTTGGAGAGAATTACAAACTGGCATAGTTCCCCCATCTGCCTAAACATGATTCTTAGCCTTAAGATGATTTCTGGTAACATGTATAGGAACTGTGAACAAGGGAAAGACCACAATATATAAAAACATAGTTTGGGTCAATATTACAGAATTGTTGAATAATCAAGCCACTGTCTCCTTTCTCTGAGAACCATTCTGGGAAAAGGAAGAGGGACTACCTTTCTTTGGTGGAGATGATTACTCTTTCTCAATGGAGAAAGGTGGGTCATGGCACCAGTCACATCCCAGTCAGGTGGGTGGAGAAGCAATGGTTATAAACTGAGAGCCATTTTTTGTTAAAAGGCTGGGCAGTGATCTTAATCCATGTCCCTAAGAAAAGTCTTTTTTTAAAAAATTTTGTCCTAATCCTATTACCCATCTTTCCAGGGGCTTTTGAAAGGATTTGGAAAGCACTTTGGTGAAAAATATTATTTCCTAATATTTTCAACTTTACTGAAGAGGAGGTTTTTAATATGCTTCCACAAATGGCTCTAGGACCTATCTATTTGTGTTAATTCTCCATAGATCTTGGATATCAGACCTTATTAAAGATAGATGATGAAAATACTTTTGCCGAATTGACAGTTACCTTTCTTATCATTTTGATTTTGTTTCACACAAAAAGAAAAATATCCTGACACTCTATCCCCACTTCCCCGGGTACTCTTCTACAGATTCAAACGCCACTGGTTCAAAAGGGGACACTTCTAGCTACGTAATTCAAACTCCCAGTGTTGTAACTCAGCTCTACTATTCACCTGTCTCCAAAGAGGTTATTTGTTCCTTTTCCATGGAACTGCTACTGCCACATACTGCTTCTCTACTAGACTGATCAGAGAAGGTTGTGCTCTGTGAACAAGGCAGAATTGAAGCAGTTCAAAAGAAACGCGAGATACTCAGATTTGGAGAATCCACCCGAATGTTCACGTGGATCATTTGTGCCCAACCTGTGGTA